TCTCAACCATCACAAGCAATATTAGCTCATTTCGTCAAAATACAATGAAAATTTATTTCGAATTGTAGTTATTAATCTACATCCTGAAAATTGATACATCAAAGCCTTCGAAATACGTAATAAAATAGAAAAACAAAATTTATATACATTGATTAAGCCATCGAGAAAAATTTAAATAACTTTTCGGTGTTAAATCATCGTGTAATTTAATACATAAATCACAAAATCGATCATCAATAAAATAGTTTGATTTCCATGTCAATAATCGATAATCAATACGCCATTGATGATAAAATGAAAATATATCGATATTATTACTCACATGATCAAGGTGATTAGCAAGATTTTTTAAATTTTTAAATTGATCAATATGAATAAAAGAATTTGGTGGTAAAATGTTTTTATAGTTTTCTTCATTAGGTCCAAGAACAATCGGTATACTTCCATGTGCAAGTGAATTATAGAACGCTTTTTCAGTTATATAATCACGACAATATGCATTTTCAAATGCTAAATAAAATTTATAATTAAGAAGTAATTGTTCGAAATTATCTTTAATTGTTAAATTTGAACATTTACCATATTGATCAATATGAAAATATTTTTTTAAATTTTCAGCTATTTCATTACGTTTTGTTCGAGTATTACAATTTGATACAAACCATAAGATTCGATTTTTTCGAAAAGAAAATTCTTTTCTTGTATTAAATGTTGATTGATTATTATGTGATGAAAGATAATAATCAATTGATTGATAATCACGAATTGTATATGATAAATTTCGAAATATATATCGACCATAACTATGAACAATATCGGAATCTTGTCGATAAGTCATTGTCCTAAATTATTGAAATAAAAATTAAAAATAAAATAAAGAAGGGATGACGCATACTGCGTTAAACCGGCTTACTTATACTTTTCTTGATCAACTCCATTGAATCATATATTAACAGAAAGAGTATGTTGAGACTAATATTTTAATACAAGTTTCATGAAGTTTTGATTGAATTCCATTTTGGATCACTATGCTGATAATTCATCTTATCATAATGGATTCGATTTGAGAATAAGAAGACAAAATAAAATACTACTAAAATTATGAATTTGGCAGCTCTTTGATGGAGCATCAATCCCACATAGAAATCATTACTTGATTATTTTATTTAAAGAGGTATAAATCCGATGTACTAATAGACACCATTAGCATATTTACTGTACTTTTGGTGCACTCTTATCTTTCAACAAACATTTTAATTTAAGAATTGACATAACCAAAACTTCGATATTGCTCATTTGATAGCCCTTTGGAACGGCTACAAAATCATATGTTTTCCAAAGTCAAAAATATCTGGTTATTTTTAAAAAAAAACTGGTAAGTACACTTTTCTCCAGACACAATGTTATGTCATTTTAATCCGTATCTACGAGATTTCGTCCAAAAACTAAGTTGATTTATGCATGATTTGAAGAATTTCTAGAATTTTTTATCGTCGAAAAATGTATACCTGATCTCCCTCAAGAGCCAGACGAAAAATGAACTCATTGAAAATCCTGCTTTTACTTTCTAGAAATTTGCCCTTTTTGCTATCTAATAATTTTAAACAACTTTCGAGGCTTCTTTATTATGTTTAAATGGTATGTTAATGCAATTCATTTTTCGTCTGGTTCTTGAGGGGAACCAGAGGTAAATTTTGCGACAAAAAAAAATTGAGTTCCAGAAATTCAATAAATCATACATAAATCAACTAAGTGTTGAATCAAAATCTCGTAAATATTGATTAAAATGACACAAAACTGTACCTGGAGAATACTATGCTCAGGAATTTTTTAAGTGGCCAGATATTTATGACTTCCAAAAATATATGATTTTTTTTGTAGTTTTTTAAAAGCGCTATTTCTCAAATTGAATCCATTGTGATAAGATGAATAGTTAGCATAATGACCAAAAGTGAGTTACTTTGTTGATAGCTTTTAGGTTTCGATATTCGATCAAAATCTCATGAAACTAGTATCAAAATATTAATCTCAACAAATTTTTTTCCTTGATATATGATTCAATAGAGTTGATCAAGAAAAGTACTAATGGGTCGATTTGACTTCTTATGCATCTCTCTCTCCTTTGAATATACCAATTGAATGTTAAATGAGATTTTGTATATTTCGGATGATGAATAGGTGCTTCCCATGACCAAAATATCCATCGTTGTTTAAATGATGTACGATTTTGATTAGATAAATGAAAAGACCAATAAAAATCTTCAGCAAAAAAAAGTATAGCACTTGGTGAACGTTCTTTAAAATCTTCTATTCGACATGAAAATTCACATTTTTTTGGACATCTATCAAAATGAACAATATGACCACCATTACGAATACCTCGACAAATATTATCTCGTGTTTTAATTGAATGATTATGTGTATATAGAAGAATAAGTGCTAAGGATTGATTAGAATTATATCGAAAGATATTTAAATGTCCTATTAAAAATAAATATATACAAGTATAAATTGTAAATCCAAATAATAATGTAAACACTCGATTTCGCCATATGCATACATATTGAACAATAGTTAATAATACTGTTTTAATAGACATGAAGTTGTCTAAAAATAAATCATAGGTTTTAAAATAATAAATGCTATATTAACCTATAGCATAAAAGTCTTGTCATAAAATATTTGCTCATTTTTTCGGCCACTAAAAGAAAATTGCTTATATAAAATCTTTGATGCAAAAATGTCACTATTAAGGACTTTTCGAGACAAGATATTTTTCTTTGTTTTTGGCTTCCTTGAAAGTGTTTTCCAGAAGTTAAATGCTATGGATTAGGACCAACACATTGTGCACTTTCTGGATATGGGCTTAGAAATTTTATCTCAGTTTTTGTTTCAGAGTAATGAAGGAATTTTTAAAGGTCCAAAAAATTATATTGAATGGCGACCCAATAAGCTTTTGCTAATCTTTATAGGTTCTTTTTCAAAGGTGCGAAAAAATATTGGAGTCGGTTGTTTTGTCAAGTGAACAGTTCTTTATAAAATTTTATATCCAACTGAGTTGTGCCTTTT